AAGCAGAAAGTCAGTTTATTGTACACAATCGGTCAATTGCAGCTTGCCGTTGGCTGGAAACTGTACGTTTGTGTCACTGGAATGCACTAATCACCCAAAAAATATTACCGCCAGCCGGCGTCTAAATGGATTTAACTCTGAACGTACAATAAGTAACGATTCTGTGTCCCTGAGTAACGATTCTGTGTCCCTGAGTAACGATTCTGTGTCCCTGAGTAACAATTCTGTGTCCCTGAGTAACGATTCTGTGTCCCTGAGTAACGATTCTGTGTCCCTGAGTAACAATTCTGTGTCCCTGAGTAACGATTCTGTGTCCCTGAGTAACTATTCTGTGTCCCTGAGTAACGATTCTGTGTCCCTGAGTAAACGATTCTGTGTCCCTGAGTATTAATTCTGTGTCCCTGAGTAACGATTCTGTCCCTGAGTAACGATTCTGTGTCCCTGAGTAACGATTCTGTGTCCCTGAGTAACAATTCTGTGTCCCTGAGTAACAATTCTGTGTCCCTGAGTAACGATTCTGTGGCCCTAAAGTCTCTGTGGCCCTAACTCTGTCCCTCAATACACAGAGGTCTGTCTCTCTTGAATGACCGGAGGGCTAATGGAGAATTCGAAGATGGCCGCGATTTATAGCTCCACCATTACTCAGTGCTGGCTGGCTGGCTGCTGATTGGCTAATGCGATCACATGTCATGATTCATGACTCATGAATGCATTATGGGTCAGCGCGCCTTGTCTGCGCGCCTTTCCAGAGATCCCTGCCCCATCTTCTCTGTCCATTTTCTCCTGTCGCCACACATGTCGCCGCCATTTTTGGGAAAATTCGATTCGTGCATCCGAAGTTTGCTAATCTTCGGATGCGTCGCGAATCGAATTTTTCCAAATCTTCGAAACGAATTCCACTTCGTCATGTTCGATTCGCTCATCTCTAGTTATGTACTGCAATGTGCTGGACATATGTAAAGGGGAATTTACTGCTTCCTCTATTTAGCATTATACTAAAATAAACTCCCTAAATGCACATTCAAATCAAGCAAGGAGCAGTACATGTGTGTGCTTTACCACATGTTTCTGCAGTGCACAGCAATGCACATTCCAAGGTGAGCTGTGGTACATCCCAATGAACTAATACAGTAGCGAGCAATGTGCTGTGCATTTTGGTGCACTGTGCTGTAAAAAAGGATTATGTACGTTTTTTTCTGCTTTGGTGTGCATTAGCTATGCATTTAAAATGTACGAGATTCTATGACTCAAAGCACCTAACACGTCTTTGGAAAATATGTCATACAAGCATGTGTTTATATGCCACCACAGTGCCGATCCACCACCATCACAACACGGACAATAACCCCCCCCCCCCCGGCTCCCCTGAAGCTGCTGGCTTCTCCTTCTCTCTCCTAACACGAGCTTTGGGTGCTGCAGGGGAGCCACAGGGGACTAAACTTTGCAAATAGATCTCCCCCAGCTGCTCCTGCTCCCCTGTACTGCCCCTCTCCCACCAATTCCCCTGGCCCCCTCTCCCTGCATTATGGCTGGGCAGCTTCCCCTCCTCCATCTCCTGCCAGCTATATCTGCTCCTAGGGTGGGAGATCAATGTCAGGATGAAAAGTGGGAAGAGGGCTGTTAAACATGTCATGTTTACCCCTCTGACCCCTGTGACTTACCACATCTCTGAATAGTTTTTACAGTTTCAGATACAGCACATCAATATAAACATCAAAATAAATACAATATATGATCCAATACCACAATAGACCAATGAATTCAGATAAGCCAAGTTTTTATAAACACAGAAAAAAAAGATACAACAAATGTTAGAACAAATGTACTAATTGAATACATGTTTGTAGTGCTTCATAAATACTGTATATATATATATATATATATATATATATTTTTTTTTTTTTGATTAGCCAGCGGGCTGCTTGAAAGAAACTGGAGAGATTCCCTCATCCACAAAATCAAGGTAGATAGAATAATCCCCCCTGCGGTGTTATTATATTTGACAGTGGGGACTGCTCCACTGGCAAAATACACTGATCAGCACTGCAGCTGATTGGCTGCAGCTACATGTAGCGCACCCCGTAGGTGCTGCTAGTGAATGCAATCCTATGTTCCCACTTAGAGCACACTGCATTTTCTTCACTATTCCACTGGCCCTAAAGAAACAGTCTAGGGGTTTATTTTGGGTTTTTATTGGGAACGATTGTGAGGGGAGTGACTTTTGGGGGTGGGGGGACCCCTGTTGTTCCTCTTATGTGTAGCCCACCCTGTGCCTGTTAGGAAATAGTCTAACAGAAATACCCAAGGGGAGTCTGGGTCCGGTTCCGTTACATTGGTGGCAAGCGGTGGGATTGTGCTTCCAAGCTGTGAACACGTCCAAACCGCCACTGGGATTCAAGATCAGGAAAGGAGACGTCGGTCACCCCAGTGGAGATATGGACCTGGCATCAGAGTTCCCAGGGCTGCTGCAGACTGTTCTTGCAGGACCCCAAGACTGTGTCTACAGATCAGTACCTCGAGCTCAGGCAGCGGCTTTGGGAGGTCCTTTGGAGAGGAGCCCTCCAGGCTGCTGGTATGGACAAGGGCAAGTGCTATACAAACCCAGGGGAACAGGCCAGGGACCATCGAAAGTTACGGATGCCATTCCTGGGAGAGCGACCCCAGGAGCAATGGGTGACTGAGTTGGACAGGCTGGTCCAGCAGGAGATACAACTGGACAACAGATATCAGGCTTTGCAATGGTACGCAGAGCAGGAATATTTAGAGGTGTCAACAGAGTGCTCTCAAGAGGGATATGACTTTGGTGGTCCTGGATTGCTGTGGGAGAGCCTTACAGCTCATTTTGTGTTTGGCGATGAAGAAGAACCTACCCTGGAGGAGTTGCGAGAAGGCAGAGAGGCTATGTTTGGTCTCACAGGGGTCTCAGAGCTTGAACCAGATCTGGAATAACTGCTGAAGAAAGAACTGCATCTGGAAAAGGCATACAGGCAACTGCTAAAACATGTTCGGCAGCATGCCCAAGAATCGGTAGTGGAAATTCCAGAGACTGGGGAGACTTCTCGGCTGAGGAGGAACCAGCAGTAGACCTGGCAACAGGGCCAAACATTAGTGAACTCTGCCCAGCACTGGTAACGTCTTCTGAGTTCCACGGATAGGAGATGGTGAACCCCTATCCCCCAGACACCAGTTCCAGAGACTGGGGATTTGATTGACTTTTCTGCTGAGGAGAAACCAGCCGCCACGCCTTCTGCAGAAGAGCTGGCATCAGGGCATGGCATTGTTGATCTCTGCCTACAACAATCAGCACCGCAGGAGCTACAGGAAGAGGATGCAATCGGCACCTCACAACAGCAGCTTGAGCTGATGTCCGAGGATGGGACTTCGGTCTCCACTGACACAACCCCAGAAAAGGGTCTGGCATTGGGACAAAAGGATGTCAGCCTTACTTTGCAAACACTGGGGGAAGTTCATCAAGTCAAAGTGGATGAGAATACAGTCGCTACCTGGATACCCCAGGGATGCTGGGCAGTCGGCCCAGATCCCCCACCGCATGATGGAGTCGGCCCAGCCACCGTGTCTTCTCTAAAGCAGCTGAGAGGACTTCAGGGAGAAGGACCAGTCTGTAATTCTCCCCAGCGGTGGGTATGTTCTACGAGAGAGGCAGAGGTTGGCTGGGTGAGTAATGCTTGGTGTGGGACAATTTGCATGGGGTACTGTGTGGGTGCTGGCACTGGGGGACTGGAAGTACAGACTAACTTCGGAGTCCATCCGTCTGGGATTTACTCCTGCGTTAGTCTCCTGCTGAAAGGAGAGATATGTGATGGGAGTGACTTTTGGTGGTGGGACCCCTGTTGTTGTTCCTCTTATGTGTAGCCCACCCTGTGCCTGTTAGGGGCGCAGGGTGCTCTGTCCTGATATTGTGTAGACATATATAGGTTGGGTGTGGGGGTTGTTCATTGTTCACTGCCACATGGTTGCCCCATTGTTCTATTGTATCTTGCTTGCCAGCAAACTATTATGGGATGTATGCGTTCCCCTATTGTCTACTGCCACATGGTGTATCCCATTGTTCTATTTTGTGTATTGACTTGGTGGGGGGTGTTTCCAGCAGCCCTTCTGATGGGACTCTCTGTTGGAATGTGTCTCTGGTTGCTAAATTTGGTTTGCCCCGCCCTGTGTCCTTATGCAGGGAGGTGGGTTGTTCCCTTGAATGTATATATCTTGTGTTTGTGTAAAAATAAAGCAGTTAACTTCCTGTCTTAAGAAGAGTCTGGTGCTGTCTATTTCATGCATGGTCAGCGGGGGTGTCCGTGGATTTTGTGTTCGGACAGGGAAGCGGGAGTCTAATGGAAACACCCAAGTGCAGTCGGAGTCCGGTTCTGTTACAACTAGAGATGAGCGAATTATTCAAAAATTTGATTCGGCTGATTCGCCGAATTTCAGGAAGAAATTCGATTCGATGCGAATTAATTTGCTACGAAGTTAACTTATAAAAAGGGTTTCTAGGCTTCAGAGAGCCTTTAAATTAGTGCAGAACACTGTACCTTTAATTTAAATGCCCTTGGAGATGAGGAAGGAGAAGGAGAAGGATGAGAAGAAGGAGAAGGATGAGAAGAAGGAGAAGGATGAGAAGAAGGAGAAGGAGAAGGATGAGAAGAAGGAGAAGGATGAGAAGAAGGAGAAGGATGAGAAGAAGGAGAAGGAGAAGGATGAGAAGAAGGATGAGAAGAAGGAGAAGGATGAGAAGAAGAAGGATGAGAAGAAGGAGAAGGATGAGAAGAAGGAGAAGGAGAAGGATGAGAAGAAGGAGAAGGATGAGAAGAAGGAGAAGGATGATGAGAAGAAGGATGAGAAGAAGGAGAAGGATGAGAAGAAGGACAGTTCTGTGACAGTTTCTGTCTATTTCTGACAGTTCTGGGACATTCACTCCATACAGCGGTTTCAACAGCTGTATGGAGTGAATGTCACAAAACTGTCAGAAATAGCCTATTTCTGACAGTTCTGGGACATTCACTCCATACAGCGGTTGAAACATTGTATCTATTTGTTTCCATAAATGGATCCATTTATGGAAACAAATAGATACAATGTTTCAACCGCTGTATGGAGTGAATGTCACAGAACTGTCAGAAATAGGCTATTTCTGACAGTTCTGGGACATTCACTCCATACAGCGGTTGAAACATTGTATCTATTTGTTTCCATAAATGGATCCATTTATGGAAACAAATAGATACAATGTTTCAACCGCTGTATGGAGTGAATGTCCCAGAACTGTCAGAAATAGACTATTTCTGACAGTTCTGGGACATTCACTCCATAGAGCGGTTTCAACCGCTCTATGGAGGGAATGTCACAGAACTGTCAGAAATAGACTATTTCTGACAGTTCTGGGACATTCACTCCATACAGCGGTTTCAACCGCTGTATGGAGTGAATGTCACAGAACTGTCAGAAATAGACTATTTCTGACAGTTCTGGGACATTCACTCCATACAGCGGTTGAAACATTGTATCTATTTGTTTCCATAAATGGATCCATTTATGGAAACAAATAGATACAATGTTTCAACCGCTGTATGGAGTGAATGTCACAGAACTGTCAGAAATAGCGGAGCTCTGCAGATACACTTAGAGGAGCTCTGCAGATACACTTTTGGAATTAATCTTATTTTCATCCTACTTCTTCTTCTTCTTCTTCTTCTTCATCCTCATCCTCTTCTTCTTCTTCTGAGGATGAGGATGATGATGAAGAAGAGAAAGTAGGATGAAAATAAGATTAATTCCAAGCCGGCAAAAAGTGTATCTGCAGAGCTCCTCTAAGTGTATCTGCAGAGCTCCTCTAAGTGTATCTGCAGAATAGAGGAGCTCTGCAGATACACTTTTTGCCGGCTTGGAATTATTCTTATTTTCATCCTACTTCTTCTTCTTCTTCCATCCTCATCCTCTTCTTCTTCTTCTGAATGAAGAAGAAGGAGAAGAAGAAGAAGTAGGATGAAAATAAGATTAATTCCAAGCCGGCAAAAAGTGTATCTGCAGAGCTCCTCTAAGTGTATCTGCAGAGCTCCTCTAAGTGTATTTGCAGAATAGAGGAGCTCTGCAGATACACTTTTTGCCGGCTTGGAATTATTCTTATTTTCATCCTACTTCTTCTTCTTCTTCATCCTCATCCTCTTCTTCTTCTTCTGAGGATGAGGATGAAGAAGAAGAAGAAGAAGAAGTAGGATGAAAATAAAGAAAATTCCAAGCCGGCAAAAAGTGTATCTGCAGAGCTCCTCTAAGTGTATCTGCAGAGCAGAAAGTGTATCTGCAGAATAGAGGACTCTGCAGATACACTTTTTGCCGGCTTGGAATTATTCTTATTTTCATCCTACTTCTTCTTCTTCAATTCTCATCTCTCTTCTTCTTCTTCTGAGGATGAGGATGAAGAAGAAGAAGAAGAAGTAGGATGAAAATAAGAATTAATTCCAAGCCGGCAAAAAGTGTATCTGCAGAGCTCCTCTAAGTGTATCTGCAGAGCTCCTCTAAGTGTATCTGCAGAATAGAGGAGCTCTGCAGATACACTTTTTTGCCGGCTTGGAATTATTCTTATTTTCATCCTACTTCTTCTTCTTCTTCTTCTTCATCCTCATCCTCTCCTCTTCTTCTTCTTCTGAGGATGAGGATGAAGAAATAAGAAGAAGTAGGATGAAAATAAGATTAATTCCAAGCCGGCAAAAAGTGTATCTGCAGAGCTCCTCTAAGTGTTCTGCAGAGCTCCTCTAAGTGTATCTGCAGAATAGAGAGCTCTGCAGATACACTTTTTGCCGGCTTGGAATTATTCTTATTTTCATCCTACTTCTTCTTCTTCTTCTTCTTCTTCTTTTTTTCATCCTCATTCTCATCCTCTTCTTCTTCTTCTGAGGATGAGGATGAAGAATGAAGAAGAAGAAGAAGTAGGATCTCAAATAAGATTAATTCCAAGCTTCTCAAAAAGTGTATCTGCAGAGCTCCTCTAAGTGTATCTGCAGAGCTCCTCTAAGTGTATCTGCAGAATAGAGGAGCTCTGCAGATACACTTTTTGCCGGCTTGGAATTATTCTTATTTTCATCCTACTTCTTCTTCTTCTTCCTCTTCATCCTCTCCTCTTCTTCTTCTTCTGAGGATGAGGATGAGGATGAAGAAGAAGAAGTAGGATGAAAATAAGATTAATTCCAAGCCGGCAAAAAGTGTATCTGCAGAGCTCCTCTAAGTGTAATCTGCAGAGCTCCTCTAAGTGTATCTGCAGAATAGAGGAGCTCTGCAGATACACTTTTTGCCGGCTTGGAATTATTCTTATTTTCATCCTACTTCTTCTTCTTCTTCTTCTTCATCCTCATCCTCAGAAGAAGAAGAAGAGGATGAGGATGAGGATGAAGAGGAAGAAGAAGAAGAAGTAGGATGAAAATAAGAATAATTCCAAGCCGGCAAAAAGTGTATCTGCAGAGCTCCTCTATTTCTGCAGATACACTTAGAGGAGCTCTGCAGATACACTTTTTGCCGGCTTGGAATTATTCTTATTTTCATCAACTTCTTCTTCTTCATCCTCATCCTCATCTCTCTTCTTCTTCTGAGGAGGATGAGGATGAGGATGAAGAAGAAGAAGAAGAAGTAGGATGAAAATAAGATTAATTCCAAGCCGGCAAAAAGTGTATCTGCAGAGCTCCTCTAAGTGTATCTGCAGAGCTCCTCTAAGTGTATCTGCAGAATAGAGGAGCTCTGCAGATACACTTTTTGCCGGCTTGGAATTCTTCTTATTTTCATCCTACTTCTTTTCTTCTTCTTCATCCTCATCCTCATCTCTTCTTCTGAGGATGAGGATGAGGATGAAGAAGAAGAAGAAGAAGAAGAAGAAGTAGGATGAAAATAAGAATTCCAAACCGGCAAAAAGTGTATGTGCAGAGTTCCTCTATTTCTGACAGTTCTCTGACAGCTTCTTCACATGTACAGCGGTTGAAACATCTGTATCCTAAATGGAAACTAATAGATACAATGTTTTAAACCGCTGTACATGTGAAGGAACTGTCAGAGAAATGTCAGAAATAGCGGAGCTCTCTGCAGGGACACTTTTGCCGGTTGATCGGGTCGGATTCGACGCAAATCGAATTTTTCCTGAAATTCGTATCGAATTCCGGTTCGCCTGGTTCGATTCGCTCATCTCTAGTTACAACAATTAACTTGTATAAGGAGAGGGAGCATGGGATACCCCAATAAACTGTAAAACTGAACTTGGGGATTCCTTAGCTTTCTTGTTCAATTTTTTTTATTAAGTATTTCAGGCAATACATTAGAAAGAAGTGGGGAAACAGCCCCGTGACAGATTGTTACAGAATAAAGTACACAAACTGTCAACAAGTGCCACATTCAGGCTAAATAGGAGGTAGTTCTGTTGGATTGTGTAAAGGATTTATGTAAACCAGTGAAATCGTCAATGAAAAAGAAAAAAAAAACATATAGAGGACATGGTTGCTCAAGATGAGGTAATGTTTACCGAAGGAAAAACCAACTCAGTGGGAAAAACCATACCTATGGAGCTATACAGTAAATGGCAGATGGCTAACGTAATCAAAATATACTACTGTGGGAAAAGGAAAAATGAAGAGAATAGAGAAGAAAGAGGGGAGGATGGGGTAATAGGAAGGTAAGAAAAAGGAAAAGGGGGTTAGAGAAGGGGAATCCTTTTCCCCCATGAGTGTCTGGGTTAGCAATTGATTAAGAATTTAAGGTGTCTAGGTTTGATTTGGTATAAAGGATCCAAGGCATCCATATGTTCCACAACCTCTCATTGGTCCTGTTCAGCCATGAATAAACGTAAAAAAAGTTTAGTACTCTACAAGTTAGCTATTGTCTACTTTGTGGCAGCAAAAATGAAGGAGATAAGTTTTGCAGCTGATCGTGAGGCTCCCACGAGGGGTTCAGTTCAGCAATGCTTCTATTGGATCTTTATGTAGCTTAAAGTCCACAACAGTATTGATTAAGGTGTACGCGCGGATCCATACCCTGCGTACTTTTGGGTAGGCTCACCAAATGTGTAGCATAGTGCCTTCCTGACCACACGTCCGGAAGCAAGCCGTGTGGTATTGGGGGTGAAAGTGGCAATTTGAGCTGGGGTGAGATGCCATCTACATATGACTTTTTTTACAAATTTGGTATAGCTAGTATGATACAGGTTTTTGTCATGGCCTCCCATATAGCTACCCAGTCTTCATCAGAAAGAGACCTGTTAAGGTCTTCCCCCTAGCAGAGCATATACTGTGCTTTACGGCATGTTGCAGAAGAGTGGATTGTAGCCTGTTTTAATGTAATGAGGCCTGGAGAGTAGGGTTTTGAGTGACATCAGCATTGAAAATCTGTCAAAGTGGCAGAGGCCAGAGAATCTTTGATTAAAGAAGAAATAAAATGGTGGAGTTGCATATACTGATAACATTCTGTGTTAGCAGCTAAATGTGGTTCTTGAAAATATGCAAAGGGTTTGAGCTTTCCAAAGGCTACAGTATAAATGAATGAACATCATTGTAAAGCTCCCCTACTGAGCCTCCAGCTAAGTGGAGGCCCCCATACCAGTAGGGAACAAGGGACAATTTGCAAGTTTGTGTTTAAGATAAATGAAGTGACATGTGGCCCCTGTAGCAATCGTGCACACAGAGATGGACGCAGTCATCCATCTTGCTAAGGATCCTCCATCTTGTATCTCTCTCCCTCCAATCCCCCCTCTCTGTTGAGTGACACGTGGTGTCTGTGTGTGTATGCTCCATAAATGAATAAATAGTGCAGCGCTCTAAATAAATAAAAATAAATATAAATATAATACAATATGTGACCAAATCAATACGTGACCAATTCATATAGTGAAATACCTGAAATATTTCCAACCCAGATGATACAAATGAAAAATAAACTACCTATTATCTATACCTCAAGTGATCTTTAAATAATAAATCTAGTGTCTATAAATCATGTTTGTCCATAAAAGACATTTCATAAAGTGACCATATATAAATATATCCTATACAAAGTGAACAACGTGCTAAAGTGCCAAGAAAAAGTGCAAAAAACATATATTTCAATTCATAAATAATCCATAAAACACACAGTCCATCAGGTGATAAATATAATCATGCGATGTGTGGTGATAGAAAATTGGTGATTTGTGCCAAACTCCTTTCCTACAGGTGGCTAAATTGCCTCCTCACCTCCTCCTGGTGACCCCTAAGGGCCAGCAGGCTTGCAGGATCACCCTGGATCCTTAATCCACAAAAGGCCAGCAGCTTTTCTCCTTCTTTAAATTCCTTTTGTGAGACTCCTGTTTCTCTCACTCCGCCAGGATATTTCTAAAGAACAATGGCTCACCAGTCCAGTGAGTCAAGAAAGAGAATGCCCTCTAAGTGCAGTAATTAATGACTCCTTTTTTTGAAAGTATAGAGTGACAACACTCACATTTTCTGACAGTCCACCCTCCTCACCGATGTGTGGGTGTACTTCATGTGAATGGGACTTCCTAGGTGCAGCAAGATGGCATCGTACGCCGGAAGTGCGTCACCGCGCACCGGAAACTGCGGACTCGCGAACCTACACGTTACGTCACTGTCTGCTCGTGACTTCCTCGGGGTATCGCATGACAGGCACAGTTCCTCCCTTTATACCTAACTTATCAGTTGCGGCCCGCCTTGTGAACACCCGGCGGTAACCGCGCCATTTTCTTGAAGCCTTCCCTT